GAGGCCACTGTATTCATGAAACACGAATTGCATTTTGATATGTAATGCTGATACACAGGAACTCCAAAAAGTTTGCAGAAAAAGGGAAATAAAGTAGAAGTTTATTTTTGGACACAACAATTTTGAAATTTATGCATAATTTTTCATAATATAGTTTTTTAGAAAAATTAACTTTTGGAAGACCCCCTCATGTTATGGGCTCTTTTAATAAAGGAGATTCCTTTTTTCCATTAAATCCTAGTACTTAGAAATAGCCCAACTTGGGTTGGCAGTGGCTTGGTGGTTAAGGGTGCTGAACTCCCACACGGCTGACCATGGTTCTAGTCCCAGACCTGGAGGCTTGTTTTCTCACTTTCCCTCTCTTTCTCTTACTCTCACTGTCACTCTGTCTCTCTCTGGTCAAATTAAAAATAAATAAATAAATAAAGTTAAATATAATAATTCTTTTAAAAAATAAAAGAAACAGCCTAAGTCAAGGCACTTTGATTTCCCTATTTATTACGGATACTTCCATAGATATAAAGGTGTTTATTATATGCGACATGGGCTACTTTAACTAAATATCTAAATTTCATTAAGGTCTTTTTTAAAAAAGTTTATTTTATTTGTTTCTTTCATGAGAAGAGAGAGAATGATAGAAAAGAGAGAGAGACAAAGAGATAGCATCTCCAACAGGGTATTTTTTCTTCTTTTTTTGGAGAGGTTTTTGCTATAGGGCGCATGTGCTAACCAGAAAGACAGAGACAGAGAGACAGAAAGCGAGAAATCACCCCCCAGGGGGGATGGTCACGCCACAATCCCTTTTCCTCCGTTCTCCTCTCGGGAACTTGGGCACGCACGCACACACACACGCTCAGCGTGAATTTAAGCCACCTGGTCCAGGACTCAAACCGCGGTCGACTACATGGGAGTCCAGTGACATAGCCATTACTAACTGCTGATCCCTCCAACTGGGTCTTGACACTATGATTCAGCCTTACCACCAGCCAGTCCTGGATTATGGACACGTGCATGCCTGGTATATTCAGGGAGGTCTCTGGACATGAACCTGGAACTTTCCTATGTAAGTCAGTCTTTCAGAGCATTGTATTTTACTGCTGTGCCCCATTTCATTAAGGTTTTGATTAATGTATAATAAAATATATAATAGTCTAAATTATTTCATTCACACTAGAGATCATATGATGAATAGAAATAATAAACCCTCTTATTAATCTTTTTAGACTTTGATTTCATTAATGAGTCTGTTAACATCAACACACCTGCTGCAGACCCAGAAGGCATTTTTTTTTTAATTTTAAGAAGCTTGATATCTTAAAGATTGTAACTTTCATATTCAAGATTAGATTTTTTTTAAGTAAAAATACCCAACGAGACCATTCAGTAACCTGTTAAATGTCAGTTAAAATAGCATTACCAAAATAGAAATCAATAAAAATATGTTGCTTTTCCCTGAAAGTCACAAATATGACCTTTGAAAACCTGCTATGTGGGTTATTCTGGCAAAAGAAATAAAATAAGCCGGTGACTTAGTGAAGTATATTAAGAGTTTACCTTTCATTGTTTAATACACAATCCAACAATTCTTATTAGTAATAAGGAGAAAAGGAGAACTAATAGAAAGAAGAATAAAGAGCTGCCAGGGCAAACTCTCCAACAGCTGCATCTCAGTGGAAAAAGGTGCACCTGAGAGTCTCAGGAAACTAAATACATTAGATTGATTTAAGAGAAGCAGAAACTAAACTTGAATTCAAACTGTTGCTTTGAAGGCTGGGATGATAAACTGTCTTCCCCTCCCTGGCAGGAAAAGCCTCCTGTTTTCTCAGTTTACACAGTTTATCCCACCATGAGTCATAGATTTTAATTTGCTCTCTACATGTAAAAAGTATTTTGAGAATGTCAGATGACTGCTCTTTTGGGTTTTTACTCTCTTCTTTTCATTACTACGTATTGGTCGGGAAGAGGAGTTGGAAACCAAATTGCTAAACCAACAGAACGCTTGCTGTCTATGGCACATTTACCTAGCTAACTTAAGAAAACAATCCCACCTTTTACTTGAATGGATTTCTGATTGTGATTCATTTTATTGTTGTACACAACTAGTAAATACCAAGTCTGCTCACACAGCCTCACAAGTTTTCCCTGTCTTTGACAAGAGTTCTAGCTTTTGCTGATTAGCATCTGGTGAACAGCAGAACATTGCAGTAATTAGTATCTTAAATCTGTACTCTAAAAAACAATCAAACAAAAAACTGATTAATGTTTTAGTTTTTAAAAAAATGACACATTTTTTATTTTGGCAAAAACTCCTCACTCAAGAAATACTAGTGACAATTTGTAAGATAGCTTAACCTTACTGGTCCAAAGAGAAGTTCTTTAGACAATTATCTATGCTGTGTATTTTCACATACCTCCCCTCTGGAAAGTCTTAAAAGGAATAAAATTAAAAAAATGTAATTATACATTGCACAAAACACCCTCATATCCTGTGACATTCTTATTAAAACACAAGTTCCAATGGCTGTTTTATAAATTCTTTAAAATTTAGCTTCAATAGAAAACTCTGTGTTGTTGAGTATATCCTTCCAGGGTTTGGATTTTGTCTTATTGGACTCTGTTCCTTTCATGGCCTTTGAGCGATTTTACAATTCTGTACATCATAGCTAGCTAGTAGAAATGCAAAATAAGTATTTTCTATAAACATGTAAATCATTTCTTACTAGTGGAGGTTCACCTGACTTCTCTTCTGTAGGTGCAAGACGTCAGTTTGGCCTCTCTTTGCACGTTCAATTCAATATTGCTGATCTTTAAATGCTTCTGTTCTTTGGTTAGTTCTTCCATCTGGCAACATCTTAATAGTTTCCTCATTAATATTGACTTAAATTTTAAAAAATGAGTTAAGGAAAATGGTTTACATGCCTCACTTAGCATTAAATTTTCCAAATTCATCCATTTTGTATCAAATGTCAGGATCTCATTGTTCTTTTATTTTTAATGATTTATTTATTTATTTATTTTATTTTACATTCATTCACTGAACATCATCACAGCCTACAAAATGCAGGGTCCTATCCAGAATACACTGTATAGTGTATAGTGACTTAGTCATACATGTTATCATTAACAAATAATTTTCCATTTTTTGTTTCAAATATATATATATATCCCTATTTCTCACCCTCTGCCATTTTCTACTCTCCTCCCAACCTATCTCTGGTATCTGCAGTTGCTTCCCATTCCTCTTTTTCCTCCCACATTTTATTGGTTAACAAAATATCTTAATTGATCTAAATACTTTTTTTTTTTAGAGAGGTTTTTGCTAGAGGGCGTGTGCGCTAGCCAGAAAGACAGGGAGACACAGAGAGACAGAAAGCAAGAAATCACGCCCCAGGGGGGATGGCCACACTACAATCCCTTCTGCTTCCTTCTCCTCTCAGGATCTTGGGCACACACGCACACACGCCTGGCATGAGTTTAAGCCACCAGGTCCAGGGCTCGAACCGCAATCGAATACATGGGTATCCAGTGAGATAGCCATTACGGCAACTACTGGTCCTGATCTAATTATATTCAACAGCAAGTTCAGCTAATATATAAATATCTGTGAACTTAAGGCGACTTTAGGTGTGAAACTGTGAGTAGATTGAATATACTATAAAATAGCACCTAGCTGAGGCTATATAGCTTACTATGGTCATTAAATAGGTATTTTAAAATATATTTTTTAATTTCAAGAAAGGCAGTTTTAGCTGGGACCAGCAGTTGGCATAATGACTATGTCAGTGAACTCCCATGTAGTCAACTGCGGTTAGAGTCCTGGACCCAGTGGCTTAAACTCACACCATGCGTGTGTGAATGCATGCTCAAGATCCTGAGAGGAGAATGGAGGAGAAGGGATTGCAATGTGGCCATTACTCCTCGGGGGTGATTTCTTGCTTTCTGTCTCTCTATCTCTCTTTGTCTTTCTGGTGAGCGCACGTGCCCTACAGCAAAAACCTCTAAAAAAGAAAAATGAAAACCGCGCAGTGCGAGTGTGCATGAGAAAGCACTAGTTCTCAGCTGCAATGGAGGAGTCTTCTTCTGAAGGCCTGCCCCTTGCCTCTCCTAGAGGGGAGGAGGAAAGGGGATTATTAGCAAGATAAAGATGGATCTGAAAGTCAAGAGAATACTTTACCTTAAAAATATTTTAAAAAAGAGAAAAAATACAAAAAAATGTGAAGACAGAGAGAGGCAGAGAGAGAGATATAGAGAGACAGAGAGAAGGTAAGAGGGGGTGCCCTACCACTTGAGGCTGGGGGCTGGAGGCTTTATTATCAGTAGACAATCTTCATTTCTCTTATTCCCTGGAAGCACTAGTTCTTCACTACTACTCATTTTTTAAAACCCCAGATTAACTTTTTGATAAGCAGCAAACCAATGCAAAAACTGGTGATTTAAATCTGAGCTATGCAAAATTAACAAAAAACAAACCTGTCAATGTTTTAATCATTTAAAAATTATATTTTTATTTTGGCAACAATCTAGCACTCAATAAATGATGATTTGTAAGAGAACTTAATTCTACTGTGTCAAAGAGGTGGAAAATCTTTAGACAATTATAAGTAGTGTGTATTTTTATACAACTTTTTCTGAAAGTTAACTTTTTTGAGAGTTTTTTGCTATAGGGCACATGCGCTTGCCAGAAAGACAGAGCGAGATAGAGAGACAGAAAGTGAGAAATCACCCCCCAGGGGGGATGGCCACACCACAATCCCTTCTCCTCCATTCTCCTCTCAGGATCTTGGGCACACACGCACACACGCCTGGCATGAGTTTAAGCCATCGGGTCTGGGACTCGAACTGCAGTTGACTACATGGGAGTCCAGCGACAGAGCCACTACACCAATTGCTGGTCCCAGAAAGTTAATATTTTTATTGAGATCATTCATAAAACTCTTACACTGTATTTAAAGGAAATATTTCATGCCACCCAATAAATAAAAGCAGATTTTTATACTTACTGTGCCCCACCAAAGAGCATCTGCATATGTAGAAAACTCTTTATTGGCATCCTTCTCCACCAGATAGACAAGGAAAGATGAAAAAATAAGAACCAAAAATCCTATGTACCAAGCTGTGATTAATTCCTAGATGTAAAAGAAATAGAATATATTTTAGAGGTTAAAAAAATCTTTCAAAAAGGAAAAAAAATCTATATATGATTCCATTTACCTTACTATATCTTGGGTTTATAGTAGCTTTAAAAAATCTATTACATATCATATCTTATTGCTTTAACCAGTTTCAGAAATGAACAAGTTTGCTTGTGATAAAGCCTATTAAATATTTCAGCAATTAATAAAAAGTTTAAAAAATTTTGTTCTAAAACTCAGAAAGCAAATCGTACCTTGCTGTGAGCATAAACAACTGAACCTAGTAATTTCCAAGTGCCTCCCCTTCGGTCCATGCGCACCATACGGAGGATCTGTAGGAAACGTAGACTTCTGAGTGCAGATGTGGCAAAAATATTGCCCTGTGTCTTTGCAGAAACAACTGCTATCGAAGCGATAAGAACGATGGTATCTGAAAGAAACAGGTTGAGACAGCCATAAGTACTGTGACTAGGAATTTTTATTTTTAAAAACAATCTTCCTAAAGGTCCACTTTGACCTGTTTGAAGTGCACATAAACAGATCTCAACCTCCAGCCTTGCCTAGTGATCCTTGGGCTCTGTGATGCCTTAAGAACGAGAAGGTAAAGAACAGAACTTACCTGTTCCTTTAGTTCTGACTCTGGGCTATTCTGTGCTTTACTTATGCAATTTTGACCTTCAACAAATTGGCCAATGACAGGGACCAGCAAGTGGCGTGGTGGTTAAGGCACTGGACACTCCCACATGACTGACCACAGTTTGAGTCCCGGATCTGGAGACTTGTTTTCCCACTTTCCCCCTCTCTCTCTAGTCAAATTAAAATAAACGAATGAGACTTTCAGAGTATGGAACATGCAAGAGGCAAGGAGTGGAAATCCACAGAGAAATCAAGGGAAGAGTATGGAAATTCTAAGTGTGAACAAGTATCTGAAACTGAAGAGCAGCAGTGGGCTTCTAGCCGACCAAGCACATCTACAGGTTTACCAGCAACCTCAGCAAAGGAGGAAAAAACAAAAAAGATCTGTTAAGGATGACGAAGCTTCCTGTCCAAGGGAGAAGGCACAAAGCAATGGCAGCCTACAGTCTCAGAAAAAGATACCAATTCCCCCATTGCCCTCTAAACTGCCACCAGTCAGCCGGATTCACCAAGACATCCTGCGGGCTTGGTGCCAGCAATTAAAGATCAGCCCCAAAGGCCAGAAATTAGATGCATACAGGAGACCGTGTGCCGCTGCTTATCCAAATCAAAATGATATTCCTACCACAGCAAAAGAGGCCAGGATTGAGTCATCATCATGAAGAAAATTAAAGATGGGCAGAGGGAAAGCATCAGGAAGGTGTGTTTTTTTTTTTTTTTTTTTTTTTTTTGAGAGGTTTTTGTTATAAGGCGTGTGTGCTCACCAGAAAGTCAGAGAGATAGAAAGCGAGAAATCACCCTCCAGGGGAGATGCCCACACCACAATCCCTTCTCCTCCATTCTCTTGGGATCTTGGGCATGCATGCACATGCGCCCGGCGTGAGTTTAAGCCACCAGGTCTGGGACTCGAACTGCGGTTGGCTACATGGGAGTTCAGCGACATAGCCATTATGCTAACTGCTGGTCCCATAGAAGGGATGTGTTCTGAAAGGACTAATCCTCCCAAAGTGACTCCTCCACCTGCAGAGGCTTTGCCTAACCCCAGAAGAGTCTGCAGCTGTCCTTGAGGAAGTCAATACAATTGAGGTGACTACCTCTGTCTCAGAGGCTGTGCTGGCTTCCTGGGCTAGAATTTCATTTGTGGCTGGGAAGAGGGAGTCAGCAGCAACAGAGACTGTGGAATCCCCACAAGAGGCCTATGGTTTTAGGTGGTGTGTGGTCCATGGGAGAAGTCTCCCTGCAAACCTGCAGTTTCATGCTGGACAAGCCTGGGCTCCTGAGCAAAAAGAGAGAGTATGTACCCTCTTCCTACTTCCGGCCTGCAGTTTCCCACCCCCACACTTGGAGGACAATATGTTGTGCCCGAAATGTGTGCAAAGGAACAAGGTCTTAATGAAAAGTCTCCAGTGGGATTAGAATACAAAGAAAAGGGCACATCTATGGTTGTAATTCATGTTAGAAAAGTTGAACAGTCAACTCCACTGTGACCCAGATAGCTGAACTCTGGTCCTCCACAATGGTCAAGCTTCTTTCTGCTCAGAGGCCATGCAGACTGGCACCCTTGGACCCCCAACAGTGCCTGCTGCCTCCCAGGTTGGGGCACAGAGACTTGGAAAATGGAAAAGACTTTAACAAAGGACCATCTTCCATTATTAAGAAGAATACGTTGTTCTGGTCTGTCAATTCTTTGTAAGTTTCATGCATAGATTAAATAATATTACATTTGGTACAGTAGACAGTGCATTGCCTGGAAATAGATTATTTAATGTTTGACATATTGACATTTGTCTAAAAATATTTGTCCTTTTGTAAGCAAAAAAAAAAAAAAAAAAAAAAAAAGAAAGAAAAAAAAAAAAAAAAAAAA